GGAAAATATATTAACCTTGTATATTTCGGACTTGGAATTTTGCCAATGGACCAACATGGAGCAGGTAGAATTCTATAATGTATCTCTTTGTCTAAGGAAGAAAACAAATCATGTTAAAAATTACGCAACAATTATTCCATTCAAAAAGTGAATTATGACGGAAAACGTCTCTTCTATTCGACGCTTTTTGTCAACAATTCGACAACTTTGAATACTTTGAGAACTGGTATCAATAAGCATTGGAATCCTTCCATATGTTTTTGATTGAATAACGGGTAAATGATTTAATGTATGTTTTGTATAATATTCTATAGTTTCCAATTTGTTATTACCAGTTTTTATAAACTGAAAATCATTTAGTTGAGATGATTTACAAAATAATGAATTAGTTTCGTATTTCAATTTCGAAATAATCATAATTTCATCATTTTCATTCAAATAAACTCGAAATTGACATTCTTCTTCCATTTTCAACTCTTCCCCCCTTTGATTTACTATAAACAAAGATCTTTGGCAATATCTTTCAACGTTTACCGATTGGTTTACAAACACGGAACAAATTGAACCGTTATTATTTAATAAAAGTTTATAAGACTCTTTCTCTTCGGAGGCGAGAAAATCTAATAGATTTTTAGACAAAATAGTATTACAGCCAACAAAATCCAATTTAAAAAACAGAACCCAACTAACACGTGACGTTTCTCTTGTAACATTTCATACAGAATTCATGATTTTGAACATTCACCATACTTGAATATCTATAACTGAAATGAATGAAAGATTATTTCACAATCAATCAAAGAAATAATCCGAAAATAATTTATTTACATTTTACTATTTAAAATTAACACTTCCGCTTTCTCTGTAAGATTTTTTCAGACTAGAATTAATGCAAAGATAGAGATTGTAATGGGAAGAAAACGGTCCATTTTTCTATTTCTTTTTTGATGTTTTTCCCTAACCCTAAACCCAACATTTAATAAGATTCTATCCATTTTACGATTCCTAACCCTATAAAAGCCTAAAATCCTATCCTAAACGTTTGCTTACTGCACCGTTTTCTCTCAAGCTCCGAAAGAAGGAGATTAAAAGGTTCATTAATCAATATTCTGACAATTAATTACCTCGTCCATTTTTACACGTCTGAGCCCAAAATGATATATTATCGTATCCCATTGATTGGCAAAGTTTTCCATAGATTTCTTTTTCATTTTCTGATCGAATTTCTAAGAAAAAGCTTTCATTCTTATTTAAAAAGAATATTTTCAATTTTCCATAAATGTAATAGTTAGTTTCCTCAATTGAAATTAATTGATATTTTATTGAATTATTAAAAATTAATGATGAATATAAATGATAATTTAAAGAGCAAGATGAATAGGCTGAATTGGTAAATCTATAAATTGAAAATACAATGATAAACGCTTTGTAGACGCTACTTTGAAAAAACTTCATAATTCGGGAAATAAACAACTATTTCAATTGTTTTGTTAATATTTTAAAAACAATATGAATTGAAAATATTACTAAGCAATTTATAAAAGATCGTGAAGGTCAATATTGATGAAATGGTAGGCCTATAAGCTCAATTAGAATCCATACTATGTTTGTCTGTATAATTCTTTAAACTGTATTGGAATATTATCTTTTCTAGGTCAACTAATACGAAAACAACGTTTGATAATTTTGTCATAGATATTTTTCGATGTTTACGTCTTTTGTTTGTACTTGAAAAAGGTTTAAATAGCTGAAAAGTTGACATTCTATACTTGATTCTAATTGGTGATTTGTTGATAAAGTATCTATTTATAATTTTCCAAAGAACGCCGTTATACTGTATTAAATTGATATTAAATATCCAATCTAAATAATTAAATCCAGTTAGAATGTCATATCTTTAATGTTAAAGAGTCGCTAAGTCTATCTAAGAGTAATTAGGAAAAAATTTCCAATTAATGTAATTATGTTGTCATTGGTTAAATATTATCTCTTTAGCCAATAAGAAATAAGGATAGCTTTTATACTTAATATCAAACTAGTTGCAGTATTCAAATATAACGCTAAAACATGGATTTATCATATCTGCTGCAAAATACATCAATTATGGAATCTGGAATTATGAATAGTAGAGCGGATGTTGCAATTCCATATTTAATTATTATGGTCATTTCAATTTTCCTTGGAACTGTGGGAAATATTTTAGCAATTGGAGCAGTTTTTTTTAATAAAGTTTGTAATTTAAAATTTAAAAAAATGAAAAAAAAAACAATCTCTTTTTATTTCGTTCCGTTTTTTGTTTGTTTTGTTTGTTTTGTTTGTTATAGCATTTAAAGAGAATTGGTAATATTTTTATTATCAATTTGGCAATTGCTGATTTGTTAGTTTCTAGTTTTGTAAACATCTTTAGCATAATTGGTCTTGTTAATGGCGAAAAATGGTTTTTGGAAAGACAAGTTGTTTGTCAAATTGTCGGTTCGGTGTGCATAATTGCTTGTTTGGCATCTTTGTTCTCTATTGGAGCTATTAGCGTCAATAGATATTTTCATATTGTTCAGAGAAGTTTACACGACAGGTTAGTGAATTTCTTTTCTTTTACAATAAATCTTCTTCTCCTCCATCTTCCTCTTCCTCTCCTTAGAATCTTTACTCTTTCCAATACATTTGGAATTGTTATTCTCTTATGGACGGTATGCTTTCTTATCCAAATTCCTAATTTACACTTTATCAATTGGACTAGTATTAAATTCGATAGAAAGGCGATGACATGTTTATGGGATAGGACTAATTCTCATTCATATTCAAATTTTTTAGTTATAGTTGGAATTATATTCCCTATAGTTTTAATTGCATTTTCCTATTTGAAAATCTTTATTTACGTCACAAAAAGAAAGAGGAAAATTGCGGAAAGAAAGATAAAGATGCAAAAGACAATCAGGAATACAATAAACAGGAAAGAGAGAAAAAACGCACTGCGTCTAGCGAGAACATTGTTTGTCATCTTTATTGTGTTTATCTCCTGTTGGTTGCCATATGGAATTGTTATTCTATACGATAAACACGATAAATTACCACTTGAGGTTCACGTATTTACGCTTATCATTGCTCATTTTAATTCCAGTTGTAATAGTATTATCTACGGTATCATGAACAAACATTTTCGTAAATCCTATATCCGATTTTTGGGCATACGCCATTTTGGAAAACTCGATCAAAGATTTGGCAAATGACCTTTATGCAAAACTTTTATTCAACTATAAAGTGACGCTCTTACCTTATTATCAACGCCACTAGGAACAAGATAATATTTGAGCGATATCAATGAAACTTAAACCTAGTTTTTAAAGGGAAAAACAATATACGATAATAAAAAATTCAAGCGAATTGAATAGCTTTTTGATGGTTGAACGTAGCATTTCTCCTCTCCGCTACACCAATCAATTCCTTTTGTAAGTTTTATACATTCACTTCTTTTTTTATTTATCAATCAAAGACAACAATAAACATCTTTACTTGTTGACATCAATTTTACATGCATCGTTCATGTTAGTGTCTTGATCATAAAATCTCGTTTCTATAGCAAATCAATAGCAATTTATTTACAGTGCAGAAGTAGAAAAAATGACTTTTTCTGTTGCTGTTGATAGACTAATTCCAGTTTTTACAATTAATTTCATAAATTCTCTACGAAACTTTTTACCGCTTAAACAGTAAAAATAGAAATTCAGTGCGCTATTCGATTTTAATAATAGCTTTGTAACCAATGCGGATATGGCTAAAAAATGATAATCACCTATATCCGGTTGTGAAGTCTTCTCTAAATAGTTGTATATTTGACATTTAACGTAAACAAACACTTGAACATCTTTAAACACGCTTACTTCTATTGTATAAAACATATTGAAAAAGTACCAAGCCATCATTGCGTAAGTATCCATTATGGCTAATGTTCGTAGATAGATTGATGTCGTTGTACCGCTCATCGTTCGTTTTCCAAATATTATAAAGCTTACACAATTTCCAAATATTTCAAGTAGGAAAAGAATTGTACCAATAATTTTATAGCCAATAAACCAATTCAAAGTATCTGGTGGAAAAATAATCTTAGACGTCAGACTTGAATTATCCATTTTTGGCTATTTACAGACAGCAGACTGATGAGAAATGTCACTGAAAAATCTTATGTATTGTCTATTTTTCAAAAGCTGAGATTGAGGCTAATAAAACATTGTCTTTCTTCTCTTTTTAACCAGATTCTTCTATATCATTAGAGAAGATAGTTTAGAAAACTTCAACAGTATCAAAGGTAGTTGAATTATTGATAATAAGTGGAATATAAGCTATATAAAAACTGGATTATTTTCATCTATTACAGATTTTTTTGAGTACATTGGCAAACAGTGTGACATTTTCTCTCAAAACTCTTGTTTGTATAGATACTGCAAAGACGCATTGTTTGTTTTTTTTTGCTGTTACAACACTCAAACTATACAGATTTACAGTTCGACTAGTAGTTCTTCAATTAGTGGCTATTCTGAAAATTTTGAAAAGTTCTGTATAATAATATTTGTTTATTTTTACAAAATCTTCGTTTAGCCACACACCAAAAAAATGGCGGCTTCTTATATTCTTAATCCCGTTGTTAGAATATTTATGAGAATTAATAAAAAGATGAAGTAAGGGATATTGGCTATTCTTTCGGCTCCTGCTTTCCCGTCTAATGCCCAGGTATTACATCGATCTCCACTACAGCATTTAACACATTCTTTCTTTTCGTTAATTGTCTTGCAATTTTCATTTGTCGTTGCGGAAGTGCAAGTTTCATTTGAGCATCCTCTAGCAAATGTTACTTGTCCAAGACTTTCCATTCTATAGGCCCAACAATCTCCAATGGAACAATCTACAACCTTTAAATTACTGGTGCTATTCTTTAAATTTGAAACGTCATTTCCGCAATCAGCTTCATTTCCTTTGCATTCGTAGCATTTTTCTATAAAAATGAATGAAATAATTAATAAATGCTCTTTGTATAGAAGGAGACTTGAAAAAACCACTTACGAGCACACTCCGTATTATGATTGGTCAACTGGAATCCTGATTTACATTCCAAACAAATGTTACCATGGATACATTTGTCACATTTAGCTATGGAACAGTCGATGCAACCCTCTCCATCATTTTGTAGAGAATAGCCAGCATTGCATGAGTAGCAACTAACCTTGGCCTTGAATGGGTTAGAACTGCATGTTGCGCAATTAGCAAATGTTACTTCTGAACAGGGCCTACATCTTCCGTCAGGTTGAAGAGAGTATTCATTTGATTTGCATTTAATACATCTAATAGTCCTATCGGAATTCACGGCACACGATTGGCAGGTTGCCGGGCAAGGAATACAAGTTCCGTCTGGTGACCTTCCAGTTCCTTCTTGACATATTAAACATTCGTATTTGCCATTGTAAGAGCACTCTTGACATAGGTTTGGACATTGTCCGCAACTTTCAGAGTTTATGTAATACTTTTTTGCACAAAATGTACACTCTACCGAACTACTTCCGCTTCCGGAAGAAGTTTGACAATTTTCACAATTGTCTGTATTGCATGGTTCGCATTGTTCTCCATTCAGCCCATAATTTGATTTGCAAGAAGTACATTGAACACTTCCTTCTTTTGATAAGCAAGTGTTACATCCAGTTGGACAAGCAGCGCAAAGATTATTAGCTGTTCTATAGTATTCATCTTTACATGAAGCGCATGAAAATTTAGCAGAAGTCATATCAAAAGTACAACCGGAACAACCAGTTGGACAGTTTTTACATTTGCCATTCGATAAAACAGATATTGCAGTATCGCAGGCAGAACAGATTGTCTCTCCATTCCATCTTTTTGACTGTAAACATCCATATTTATTCTGATAACATACCTTATCAGTTGGATCATAAAAATAGCCAGTGTTACACTGCCCTTCGTCGCATTTAGTAAGCCCGTTCACATCGCACTTTTTACAGTTTAGATCGCATCCTGTTTCAAAACAATTAGAACAATTCAGGTTTAAACATGGTCTATTGAAATTTTAACCTACTTTCACACAATAGGCTACCACCAGAAGATTTAGTTAACGTATTGCCAGATTTACACACTTCCGGAACAAGTATCTCGGAATCAGCGGCTTCAAAAGAACACCTTGCAACGCCAGCTCCAGTACAGGGCAAACAAGTTCCCTCTGTTCTGTGTCTAATGAATCCTTCTGTGCAGCCATTGGGTATACAAGTTTCACCATTCAAACAGAAACTGCAACCTTCAACGCACGCTTGACAATTTCCACTGTTGTCTTTATAATAGCCGCTACTACACTGCAAACACGTAAATGAGTCATTAATTTGCTGTACGCATATTGCGCAATTGGTAATTGAGCATAATTCGCAACTGAAATCGGAATCTTTTAGAGCTCGTGACGATGCACATCCAAATGATAAGCAAATAACGCTATTCTGATTAGTGGGGTCAATCCTGCATTCATTGCAGTTTAATGGACATTTTATACACTCTCCAGCATTGTTAAGAGCATAGTTTGCTGTACATTGAAGGCATCTGTTAATTGTACTAGGAGTTGTGGAAGATACATCAACTGTACACTTTTCACATCCATCCTGACATTGATAACATTTTGGCTTAGTTGACGAAGAAGCGGGCTCTAAAGCCCAACCAGAAGCGCATTTTGTACAACTTGAAACGATTGACGATCCAGCCGCCAAATTGCATTCAATACATTTAGCCCCACCTTCTCCGCTTTCACAATCAATACATTCCGTATCATCTTTGATTATATAATTCTGTGCACACTGAGAACATTTACAAATGTCATTGACTAGCATGAATTCTGTACAATTTGCAATTTTATCTGATGAACAATCAATGCAGGCGTTTAAATCAGAATTTATTATTGACCCAGTTAATGGACAAGTACATTCGCAAGCATCACCAACCGAATTTAATTTGTTTATTCCACCATTGCAAGTTCCACATTGTAAACAAGAAAGACCATTTTTGGCGACAATTTGACCTGCAGAACATTCTGAACATACTGCAATATACACTCCTTCGTTCAGTTTCATTGTGTATGCATTACAATTTGCTATATCTGCAATTTCTACGCATCCCGGATCAATCGGATGTTTAAGGTAATGTTTCCCTTCTCCTGCTTCACTGCATCTACCACAAAGGCATGTACCATCAGAAACTACTGCAAATTTACAATTTAACAAGCTTATCCCGTTGCAGGCGACACATTCGTACTTTTCTGGATTTGAAGTATCCAAAATATATCCAGTTGTACAGCCAGAACATCTAGCCAAGCTAGGAGAAAATGTTCCAGATTTTGCAAAGTATCCTTGACATTGCTGACCTCCTTGATTTGACAATGGAACCGGATATATATCTCCTGATTTCACATGATGTGGAAGAAGTACATTACAAGATGCATTAACGTTATTAAATGCATAACTGAATCCATCTTTACAAGAAGATATTGCTGGAAGACAGCTTCCCATAGCTGTCAAAACAAAGGAATTTAAGCATTTGGCACATTTAAGAGTGTCAGTTAGCGTTGCCATCTGGTAACAACCTACAACACTTTTATCAAAAGGAAATGCAGTACAACTTCCAACATTTAACACCTTATAAGAATAAAAATTATTAGCAGCATAAGTAGGAAGGCATTTTGAACAATAGCAGTTCGGTGTACTTCCGCTAGGAGCCATATTCCATTTTTCTTCGCAAAAGTCTATTGATGCTGAATCGCAAACGTTTGACGGAGATGCGCAATCCATTCCAGAATTTCCGTTGGAGCAGGCAAGACAGACGAGAACAAGATCAATCATAATACACTCACTACATCTATCAGGGCAAGGTTGGCATTTTGTACTATTTAAAAATGCACCATTTGCACATTTAGTACATGTAACTTCTTGAGTGGATACGCTATTAGGAAGGGACCAAGTAACACACCATTCTCCAATCTCTAATAATGAACATAGAAATTAGGGAAATGCTGATTTAAACAAGAGATTACTGTATTACTAACTTTGACAAGTTGTTGGTATAACACCAGTATCTTTCTCGTAACCACTTTGACAAACTTTTACACCAGGTGTAGGTGTTGATCCACTCACTTTAGTACACTGTACAGCATTTGGAAATTCCTCTGAGCAGGCTATTTTTGGATATTTTGCAGTTTAGACGTTTTGCAGTTTCGATTAATTTCTTACCTTTACACTTCTGAAATGGTGTAGATGGAGTATTAGATTCTTGGAAAACTGTATATTCTGTAGAATTTGTTTGGTCTCCAATACATTCATTAGCCTTACATCTACATTTGTAATCTGGAGATGATCCGAATCTTTCGAATCTTTTGCATTGAAGTCTCGCCTCTCCGCAATCTATTTTTGAGAATTTACATAGCTTAAAGACTATATCATTCATTTGTCCTACCGTAGCATCCTCTTGATAAGGTTCCTCCTATTTCAATATCAACCCATTGGGTACTGCCAATACACGTTTTGCATTCCACATCAGTTTTATCACTGTTCAATTGACAATCAGCACAATTCAGTCCACAATTTTTGCAAACTCCAGCATTTGGGCCAAAAAGGATTAATGTACTTCCTTCTGAACACGATCTACAAAAACACGATCCATTCTCATCAACTATAGAACCGGAAGTACATAAGGTATTATCTTTGCAAGATTCTGAGCAAGTTCCACTTGTGAAAGAGAACATTTTACTGTTGGAATTGGGAGATTTATTACCACACGGAGATCTCATACATTGAACTGCATTCGATACTATTTCGCAATAATCGCAATTTGCAATTGAACAGGCTTCACAAGACTCAATTGTTGATAAAGTTCCATACTTCGGTGCAAAATTTTCGCTGCATGCTAGACACGTTAACCCTGTTGACCTTTTCTTGCAGTAGTCGCAACCATTTGGACACTGAACACAAGTTCCAGTCTCATCGTCAAAAGTAAACTTCTTTTGACACATTGAAGGATAGCAAACTGGAATTGGAGAGGAATCATCTTCAAAATAGCATTTATTGCAGTTGGTTGGACAAGGTACGCATGTTCCATCATTCTTAAGTCCCCAAGATCTTCCATTCTCTCTCTCGATACAGAAATGAGTCGACGCCGTTCCTCTGCATTCTGTTCTCGCTTTAGCCCAATTCCAGGTGCAATCCACACAATTATCAGGGCACTTTGAGCATAGTTTATCAGAATTTCTAACGTATTTTGGACTGCATTTTCCATCTTTACAGATCAGTTTGGAGTTGACAACGTCACATTCCAGACAATTATCAGGACACTTATCACAAGTTATTGATTGCAGAAGTGTATAATTGATCATGCATTTGGAACATTTCAAAATAGAGTTATCTTCTGAGCAGGAATGGCAATTCCTTGGACAAGCTGAGCAGGAATTACCTTTGATGTAGTAACCGATTTGACATTTAGTACATTTATTTGTTCCAGTACTTGCTTCACATTCTAAGCACGAAGAATGAATAGCACTGCACTTTTCACACTGTTTTGACTGTGTTAGCGCGTAGGCGTTAGACAGGCATTTTGTACAAGTATTCCCGTCAGAACATTTTTCACAACCGGAAATTGATGTTGAACATAGTTTACAACTACTTTTTGTAGTAGTTTCTTTATAGGCGTTAATATCACAACTGACACAGCTTACTCCATTATCATTATTGTATGTGCACGTTTTGCAGTATGGTCCACATACTTGATAAAATAGAAACGTCTATCAGCAAATGTTGATGAGTAATATAAATTACTTACAAACACAACCTTGACCTTTAACAGTATATCTTGAGTGACAAACTTCGCATTGTACATTAGAAGTAGAAGTATCCCATCTACATTTATTACAGTTAGAAGGACAGGCAACACAATCATTCGACGAATCTCGATAGGCAAAACTGGTAGAACACTGTAGACATTTTTCGTTCGATTCGCATTTTTTACATCCATTAGAACATTCTAAAGGGAAACAATAATTTTAACAACTTTTTCCAAAATTAGTTTACACCGTTACCATGGCAACGTCCGTCTTTATTGTAATAGTGTTCAGTACAATTTGTACAAGTTGTAGCATCCGCTTCGTTACTAGTATCGGATTTGAGGTTGCAAGATCTTTCCGAACAGAAATCAGGACATTCTAAAAAAGTTTCCAAAAGAATATTTTTAAATTTTCAAAACTGGAGAGAGAAGCGTTTCTATTTTTTTAAATTTAAAATACAAACTATAGCATTTTAGACGATCCGCTGAATGAATTGTTCCAGTTTGACAAACTCCGCAAAATTTTGCCGTATTAGTTGTTTGTCCAGTTTTGCAGTTGAAAATTTCATTTTGCGATAAAACAGCCGGATTTATTTCTAAAAGTTTCATATATCCATTTAGAAGGTCGTAAAGTATTTGTCAAATATGTAAATTAAGAAAAAAATACCCTGAAAAAGTAAGATGGAAAGAAACAAAGTAATAAACAAAGTCATCGCTATTCTACTTTTTTGCAGTAGGTGTCATCCAAAGTCCCAAAGGCAATTGAGGAAAATCAAGTATATATATGAATGATAGTTAACTTTCTCTAGAAAAATTATCTGTATACTTCTACAGAAATTTGTTGGCATAATTCCGGGAATTTTAAGATATATTGCTCTAGCGGAAAAGGATTAACTCTACAAGAGAACGCCACCCACGTTTTAGTAAGGCTTAAATCAGTGTCCTCGTTAAAGATTAGTAGATCTTCACAACAAATCTATATGGAAGGTAAGTGAAATTGCTGCGCAAAAGTAAAAAGATAGAATAATTAACTTTACTGCAAACATACTAAACAATTACAAACTATTCATAAACCTTTTCATCTTACTAAGATCAAGAGGTCAATGAACTCTAGAAAAATTTTTATGTGTCTTTTCACCTGCTATTTCTCACAGATCAATAATAAATAAAGAATTGATCTCTTTCTCTTTTAGATCGGGTGCGCTGACTGAATGTTTTGTTTATATTTCTTTCTTTATTTAATATTAATCATTTACCTAGGCCTAGATACTCAGTAGTTCTATTATAACAAAATCTAGGAAAGGGTAATGTTTTAGCACTGATAGTTGAGAGCGTTATATGCAGGGTCAACAGCCAACGTTCAGGGTGTTAACATATCCCAACTGGTGTTGATGTGTTTCGGTACGTTCCCGCCCTTTTTATCTTTCTTATGTAATTGCATTTTTGAATACATAGCCTGATTAAAAAGTCATTGTTAACACTATATGTGTTTGTGCTTTATATCTTAGAAGTATTATTATTTTAGTGTGATAGGCCTATTTATAGAGAGAAATACGCATGGATTATGCTCAGAAAATTTATCCTAAACATTGAGTAGTGCTACTTTTAACTTTATGCTAAGGGAGAGTAGATACGGAATGTCATTGTATCTTTTCTTGCCATCCTCTACAATCACTACAAGTCCCGATTGACAAACCAAAAACTGTCCAATTGCATACAAAGGAAGATTTTTAACTGTTTTCTACTTGAATATTATGAATGTTTTACAGGTGGAGTGTTATTAAGTTATTATGACGTAATACATTTTTTAATGCATCACGTGACAACAAATATAAGTTTTAGTAAATTTTGAATGAATATTAAAAAAGTACTGACAAAAAATTAACAATTTTCTTAAAAGCAAACATTAAAGATTCCAAATTTAGGAAGAATTTCAATTTCGCAAAAACATTCAAGCTGGTTAAACTATGAATAATAATGTTTTTGTATGATTTTCCAGAACATTCAAATTTACACATCGTTTCGCTTTTCATAACGATTTTACAAATTCTACTTTTTTCCATTGGATCATTTAGAACGACAAAATTATGACAATGATTATTATTATTTAAAATATAAACGGTAACTTCAATAACGCCAGTAATGTTTTTCAAAGAATAATATCTTATTTTTCCATCTATTGGAATATTGTATTTGTTTGTTGGACATTCACGAATTCCATCTCCAATCGATGTAATAAAACTCTCAAATGAATATTTCAGGCAAAAATTCTCAATGGAAACAGTAAATTCTCCTAAATGTTGTAAAAAAAATATAGGTCAACTTTTACCCTAACAATTCAAAAAAAATAGATAACGTACTTAAACAAGTTGGCTTCTGAGAATAGAAGTAATTTTCCGCTGCTACTAGTGCAGAAGAAGTTACAACAATTCTATACAAAGAACACGTTCCGTTAATCAACCGAATTGATAGACATTCAGAATTTTCAATACACTTTTCCTTGCATATCATTTCAGAAGTATTATAAAAAACTGCAATTCTGCAATTATTACAATCGCCTATTTTATATCCCAAAAAGTCATTCCACTTTTCGCAGTCTATTCAAAAAGCAAAAAAAGAGACAACTACATGTTTTTGGTGTTTTTCTTTCATTTTATCTTTAAAATACCTTTATTAATAATTTTTGTATATAAATATTTATTGCTTTCGTGTTTTAGATTGCTTAGATAAGAGCCAATATTTTTACGTATACACTCAAAATTTGCATCTGGATTATATTCAAAACTTGAACATTTACTGTTTCCTTTACATATTCCCAAACAAACACTTAATTTCTTATTAAAATTTCTTTGATATCCTTCATTATTTATTAATTTAGTATCTTTTCTTCCAATAAATGTATTACAAACTGAAAAACAAACATTTTTATGATAGAATTGAAAATATTTTTGATTTCGCCCTTTTTTTACCCGATTTTTTCAAGTAGATTTGATTCAGAATCATTTCGGTTGGTAAGGTAAAAAAGAAGAGATTGTATAATATTCCTTTAAACATGGTTAAAGAGAGATTTCTATTTTCGAAAGAATTCCTTATTTTATAACACATTTTTAATTGTTTAGTTTTGTTCAATTTGTTTGAACAATACTTAGTTCCAATATGGTCGAAAAGTAAGAGATTGCGTAGGACAAATCGAATAATTTGATTTTTTAACTACGCATAAATCTTAATTAATTAGTATTTAATCAGTAAACTTTACATTATCTTTTAATTAAAAAATTCAATTTATTCAATTTTTTTATCTTTGTTACGAATATTTATTTTTACACTGTTTAATGCTCTATTGTTATATGTTGTCAATAATTGGTTAAAAATAGATATTGTGCTTGGACTGTCACTACACTATTGGCACAGAGTAAAAAGGTTTGATTATATTAAGGATAAAATATCTATTCAAACACTCAACGGCTGCATGGCCTAAATGACAGAAATTGAATAATTACTCTCTGCTTTATACCATCATCTCTGCCACGCCACTACTGAATTCTCAACAACTTTTCATTCAAGTATTGTAAGTTGTGAAAGGTTTTAGTGACAGTACAGTAATCATTTCCCTTTCTATTAACGATGATAATATAGGCCTATCATCTTAATCAGTATTTATTCATTAAGATTAAGACTACACCATAGCATTTGAAATGTAAGAATAGATAGATTAGAAAAGAAAAAGACTGAAAGAAATAGAACTTTTAATTATGTCAAAATGTTTTCAACTTGAGTACATTCAATACTTTTTCATATATTTCAATATCTTTATCAGAATTCAAGAAGATAATCTTTTCCATATAATCAATTTTAGTATTTAACTCTGAAAATTGAATATTTGTTCAATACTACTCAATTGTTATCGATCAACAAACCTTTAAATTTTGAATTATTACATTTATCGTTACGCTCAGGATTTAAATTCTCTTCTGGTTTTGTATTATTCTTTGAAAACATCTTTGCAATTGTTGCAGTCATGTATTTAAATACTTTATGATCTTCTGGCAATGCGGTTGGATCTAACCTGACACTATATAAAAATTCATTTAATGTTGTAATGAATATATTTAAAATTAAATAGAGCATTATAGATGCGTATGACGTAATGTAGATTTTTCCCATCAAACCGGAAGTTGTCGACAATGCTTCAAAGTCTAAATGTCCGAAGATTGTGACAAGTAGTGAGTAGCAGACATATTTAAAAGATTTATAGTTATTTATAGACTTTCCAAATATGACGTAACCCCAACAAGCATAAGCGATAAATATAATACAACAGCAAAGTCCGATTGATATCAATTGTTTGCAAGATTTCTTTATTGTACTGACAAGAACTGTGATGGTTTTTGATAATTTCAGCAGAGATAGAACGTGAAGCTGCCCAAAAAAACCGCAAAATGCAATAAATGTCATAAAGTATTGGTGTGTTGAAAAAATCAATGATAAGTCCACATATTCCGTTCTCGAATTCATTACTTCTTCTACTGATTTTACACCTATTATCGTCCTCCAAATATATAAAACAATAGAGATTGTGAAAGAGACCAGCGAGATGAGCAGCAAGACACCAGGCATTTCAAAATATTTTTTGTAACGATAAATGCATCGAATGATAAAGATTAGCCAGACTAGGACTGATAGAATTTCAAAGATAAGAGTTGCTAGACCACCTGCTCCAGTATATCTATATAATTTCAGAGAATCACTTCGAACCTTGGCTATTATACCTCCAACTGGTTTGAATTCAAAAGACCAAGATGCTTGAGAAACTATCACTTGATTTAGAATTGTGACGTCTAGTATCACGTGACGAGTTTGTCTATCTAACCAACCGTATTTTTTCAAATTTGTTATTATTTGTAAAGCTTCGTCGCCGTTCTGACGTAACGATACTGAGAAACCCTTCTCCTTTATGGAATACGTAAAAGCGTTACGTAGAGTACTATTCAAACTTGATGAATAATCTAGAGTACTATCATCAAAACCGCAACAGGAACGATTTTTAAATAGACTTTTCATTTCTGTTGTTAATATACAATTAGATTGTTGAACTCTTCTTTGAAATAGTCTGACAGAAGAAAATCTCATATGATTCAATTCTCTTGTATATTTCAAATTATACGAAGATAGATTTCTTTTATTATAATGGGTCTTTGGATAAAGTTCCGGTATTGCGTAATTTTCCAACCAATCCCATAATTTTTCGTAATTTTTTACGTTTTGAACATTTGGTATTGTATTATATATCGACCTATTTTGATAATAAATCATAGGATTGTGATTACTGTAGCAGATAAAGATGATAAAGATCAAAAAGATAGTATGTAGGACAATATCTTTTATCATGATACGCATCTTTCCGTCCAAGTGATTTTCCATTTTTGATTTATTTTCCTTATCAGCCGCCATTTTTAATCTTTCAAAAATATTCAATTCAGCTGGAACATGTGATAGATCCTTCATGTCCATTTTTCTCATATCTCCAATATCATCTTCGTATTCCGTTAAAATGGCGTCTTTTTTCAAGAAAAACGTCAGCAAGAATACTATACATATAACTTTGATTGGTTGAACTAGAATAATACTTTGTACAAATGATAGGATGAATGATATCAGCCATTGTAACGATTTTTCCTCTCCCCATTGAATAGAGTATAAAACTGTAAAGAACGCCGCAGTAAATGCAGTTAAAACAGCAAAAGACCACCCAAGAGGTATTGTATACTTGGGCCATCTTTTCGAATTGAACAGCAAAGTAATAAGAATCAATCCCGGAAATACAACAATACTACTAGCCAATCCAACATATAATTCGTATACAGTAAATGTAATGACGCCAATTTTCAAGCCATTTTGAACAGATGATTCATCAGAATTTCTATAGAACATGCAACTAGCAATCATCGACAGGAATAGAGCAACAAAACAGACTGTTAATCTTTGTAGTCTGGTAAACTGCGATTTTGTCCTCCTAGCTCCAATGGATACCCAGAGATGATCATCAGTTAATCTTTGTCTTAAATTCTTCTTAAACAGTCCATCAATTTTCGTATTAGCGTCACTTCTCGCCCCAATTAGTATTCTTTCAGTTTGACGATCGCCGTGTTTCGGTGACAACCATTCGTCGCAATCGAAATTGTACCAAGCATTTGCACTTTTATCTATGATTATTATCCTTGATAAAAACCAGGGATCGTATTCTTTTAATGAAAGATCATCGGGATTATCCGCATTATTGGGATTATCTTTTTCAAGGGATATCTTAATACAGATAATTGATCCTAGACTCTGAGTAGTTTTCATTATGAATGATCTAGTTGACCCTTCACGAAAAAAATTACTTGTTTCCTCCTTTGAAGATGATAGTATACGATTTCCGGTATTGCAGTCGCTTCCGTAACAAGTTAAGCAAACTTTTGATTTAGTTCCGCAATCTTTCCTACTTCCGGTATAGACGTGTACCTCGTATACATACTGATCTTCTTTACAATTATCAAGTAATGGTAATGGAGTCCAGAGTAATGTATCTCTCTTGTCCATTCTTCTAACTGGCAATGCTAAGAGAATGAAGAGAATCAATAGTGAACATATCGTTCCGAACACTGCTGCATTGTTTGCCAATTTTGTTGAAAAGTCATTAAAAACTGTTCTAAAATCAATAAGATTCGGTGCCATTTCTAATCCAGCTCCTAAACTACCAAATAGATTACTTGTAAATTTTGTTTTAGACGCTGTCGTCTCTTTATCAATTCTACAGGCGTCACTTTCTTCCCAGCTGTTACCTTTCCACATTTTACAGGTTGGATAGGCGATATGAATGCTGTAATTGAGATTTCCATTTGAGCAATTTGAACAGGAAATGGAAGTTATGACAGTTTGATTTTCATTTATCCTAAGCATTATTGTTCTTTTGTACTGGATACAATCTTCCAAATTCATGTTGGACGAACAAGTCTTATTTGCATTTGGTAGAATAAACGAAGCGTTATTTCTATCAGAAACTGGTATGAAATTATAACCAATGAGCACTGAGATGCTATCGTCTCTCTTCAGTTTGAACGTTAACAGTAAAACACTCCTAGTGGCATTAATGATATGAAGAGCTGTTGTATTTGTTGTATTTATATGTTGAAAGGCCGTATTATCACTCAGCATATGTAAATTAAGTGTAAAATTTGTTTGAATGTTTTCAACACTTCTCTTCTTCCTTCTAGCTGATTGTTCAGAATTTGAATTACAAGGTTTAATTTGTAATTCAGTTACTGATGACGTCACATTTAGAGAAGATTTATCCCACATATAGGGATTAATTCTTGACATAATTAACATTTTCGTTACGCAAGAATCACTATTATTATCAATTTTGAATGAATTCAAATTCACTGAACCAAATTTTGATGAGTAGTTATTATTTATGACCCGATTTATGGACAATCTTTCAATACTAATAGCCATTTCTTCATACTCAACAATTAAAGGTGGATCATTCAATTTCTGTCTCAAGAGCAATTCATTCGTAACGTTATGAATAGCATTTAAAATGTTAGTCATAACGATTCTCAGTTTGTTATTTGTACTATTAACAATATAATCTATAGTATTATTGTTTGGTAAGTTTGTTCCATTGTCACGTGACGTAATGTCGCAAAAGAAGATTGTCGAATTATTATTTTTATTACTGGCGATAAATTCTTCTTTCTTCTCAACATCTTGCTTAAAAGTGTCAGCAGCTGTAGTTACTAGAATAGATGTTTCTAATAGGCCTATATAAAGAAAAAAAACATAATTTCAATTGAATTATTATGTAAAAGTTATTTTCGTACTAATGGATATTTCTCTTCTAAGTTTTGGAGTGATTTTCTTCGTATTTAATACGGTATTTAACTTGCCAACTTGATTAGCTACATTTACCTGAAAGAAAATTGTTAATGGTAACACTACTCAATTAACTTAAATATTGTAATTTTACCTGGGAATTGATGTCCACTTCTTTTGGTTTGAATACAAGAGAACTTATAAGACCATTATTTTGTTCAAGTTCATCAACCGATTCATGGGGAGTCTTCAATACATATTCAATCAATTGTTTTCGTATCTTTTAAAGGATTGATACAATTAGAAGAGTTTATATATTAAATAGCATTTATATAAAGTATATATATATATTACCCCAATTCGTGTGGTTCTTTTTTCGCATTTATCTCTCTCTAATTCTTTCGGCGGCTTACTCAAATTTGTATTCAGAATGGAAGCAACTGAGTAAATACTCGAAGCTAATTGGCTAAAATTACCAACGTCCAACAAAATTTCTAAATTTCCATTATTTATATCATTAAGAGTTGATTCTAATAGTAAACGTTCAGGTTTTGGGGGTGGTTGAACGTGAACATCAAAAATGAATTCGTATTTATCATCAATGGAATCAATAACTCGGACTACAGTTTCAGTAATTCCATACTTGGGATCTCCAACTGGTAACATAAGATAAACTGCTTCCTGATTGTAAGAAAAGTATAGGGGGAAACTTTGCCTTCTGCCTTTCCATCTTACTCTGTACTCGTATTTTAAACCTGGAGCGTCGGGGGATTTTTCAAATTCTTTATAACCTAGACAACTTATCCGGAAGTTTGTTATCGAAGCAAAACCATATCTTGGTTGGCAACTACAATGGCCACCAAATGGTGGTTTATTAACTAGAAATGTCTCATTAGTGTATCCAATATCGCCAATTTCTCCCATTTGCCCTTCAACACTTACAGTATGATAATGTCCTGGAAATAGACCATTTTCCTTTATTTCTATGGAAACTAAAGATAAATTCCCATTAAGGACTCTATCTTGAAAATCTTGAACAAATGATAAAGTTTGATTAGCGTACACAAAACTTTTCCAAAAGTATGAAATTTTCCAATAGAGGCTAGTACACTTTGACAAACAAACAGCTTTGTAAATGATTGAAGAAGAGAGAGCTTTCTTCCTAAGACAATTCTTTTTACATCTGTAAAGAAGGTGTTTCATATATTCTCATATATTTAATTATTATATTTGTATTAAAATTACCTTATATTTAAAATTGGCTTTTCAAATGGTTTTAAATAGAGATTTTGTTCATATATTGCTTGTCTATTTTGAATATTTGATTGAATTTTAACTGTTATAATGTAAGTTATATTCGGTATCATATAATATGTTTTTAATGTTAATTTTCCAGTTTTGCTGTTGCCAATATATCCTGGACCATTTCCAAAACATCCGCCATTTTTTTTAAATTCACTTAATGTTGGTATTTTTAATAAATTTAGTCCTGTTTGAATATAACTATTGAAATTGAATGGTATTACTTCATTTTGTTGCCTGCAGTACCAATGAAAGTGTAGGCCTTTAAGTTTATCATTTTCTTGATTATCCGGATCGTAACTGTATAATCCGGCATTAAACGTTTGATTAATCCCATAATTGACACTAATCCATTTACCATTTTCAATTTCTGCATGTAGTTGACTTGGTATGATTTCAATAAAATATTCATAAGTATTATTAGCATAAGAAATATTGAACATTTGTATAAAATATTCAATTTTATATTGTCCATAATCCAATTGTCGCTCACCTACTTTTAGTGTTTTATTATTCGATTGAAATACTAAAGAATTAGTACTCAATTCGATTATTTTCCATTCGTATTGCAGTTGATTAGTCTTCATACAATCCCAACTAATATTTACTGGTATTTCTACTGCAATACTTTTAATAATTTGCAATGGATTATCTGCAATTGTATATTCAATGGGTACAGTTGCATTTGGACTATAGCAATGCCAATCTGCAACTCTTGTAATAAACGATTTTTCATCTTTTGTTATATTGTTAAATCCTTCGACTTTAATACTGTAATAGGCTACCGCTTCGTAAACATGATTAATTACAATTGTCTTCTCTTCATAACCTATTTTAGTAAAGTTTATTGACCTTTCAAAGGCAAAATTCTCGCAAAGCTCATTAACCCCAAATGCCAATTTTGTTGAGTATGTATCACCAAGGTCAAGGATAAAACAGGAATTTGTACCCATTCTGCTAATTTCAATAATTATAGTTGTTTCATTGGTTAATAGGACAGTTCCGTTATCTCTTATTTGTTCTATTATTACGGCGTCTAATATAATTTCTGTCCTAGTTTGCAGTTTCTTAACAGATAGCAAATTACTGCAAGACAAATTTGTAGTTAGGTTACCAATAGCAGTTTTTGGAAAGTAGAAATTATAGGTAAATAAACCACTCGGCGGCCATATTGGTATGAATTTATTTGCTGACATACCATTACTAAATTCAAATTGACAATAGACATCCGTAAGAATCTGTTGAGTAGATTCAGAGTAAAGTTGATATGAAATAACGCCAGGCGTCCATAATATTGATTCATTTGCCATTAAGTCTATATTTTCAATTCTATTCTGTACAACTACACCAATGATTTGTTCTTGTTGACTGACGTCATTTTCTCCAACTATCCTTAAAGAATGATTACCAATATTAGAGAATTGTAAAACTTTAACAAACGGTTGCTGATTGGCGAATATCATTGGATGTTTCTCCACTAAAATGGTGGCCGATTGGTTTATTTTATAAATAATTGACGATCCAGCATCAACATTTAAAATTAGTGATATATTTTCATATTTTTCATAACCGTATTTTTCAATATTGACCGTTAAATTTTGAATTTTTTCAAATATGGATAAATTAGAATAATATTCAAATTTACTAACCAAATTCTTACATGATATTCCAACTGTAATATTTCTACCAACATCCATTTTTGAATAGTTATAGCTTAGTGTCATTTGTTTTTTATTTGTCATTTCCGGTTTGTATACATATTCAATTGTTGCATTTTGTTTTAATACTGGCTGAAATGAACAGAAAACATCCGTTGGAGATTGCTGTTGACCTTGCTGGTTGACCTTGACATTAAAATTTATTGGTTGATTGTCAATAGTACCAGTTTTTGGTGTATCAACTATAAAATCAATAATTGGTACTTGAACAATAATTGAGTAGTGTCTAGTGATATTATTAACTGAATTGAACATTTTAATCACAATTTGAAATAATCCAGGAGTTTTATAAGTATAATTTAAATTATATTCCATTCCTGGGCCATCATTAAATTTATTTAGACTGGTTCCATCATCTCCAAAATCAATTGTCCAGTTTATATTTGTTCCGGTTATTGCTGTTAAATTTATACTAAACTGTTCAAAAGTTTTCACAGTAGTTTTGTCAATTGAAGCGTTCAAGTGAGAAATTTCCTCCTCTAGTAAAAGATTTTGTTGGGCAGACGAACTGGAAACGTTATTATAACAGACAGCTTTTATTGTTAAATTTCTTTTCTCCCTTTCGTTAAACTCTCTACTATATTCATAAATTAGAAATACCCCATTAATTAGGTCAACGTTGTATAATATCCTTTCATTTCCTCTATTGCTATATTGAATTAGACATGTGACATTTGTGGGTGAAAACCCATTCTCAACTTCTGTTATAGTTAAATTAACTGTTCTAGGTTGTTTATAAGAAAGTCTCAAGTCAATTTTCTTTATTTCATGCTGAATGAAAAGGTTTTGAGTAGTTTCGCTTGAACAGTTAAAAAATTCATTTCTAACTATTGCCTTTGCTTTATATTCACCAATCAGCGAGTAGGAATAATATGTTAAAAATGGCCTTCTATTCGCAAACAACTCAGGATGTTTAAATACCTTAATTATTCCATCACCAAATGAAATTTCATATTCAACGTCACTTCCGTTTTTTAACGTTAATTCTAGAGAAATATTTTTAAATGATGGCCAATAGGTGGCATTAAATTTCATTATTAGATCGGAAACATTTTGTTGAAGTTTCAATATATAAGTAGAATTAAAACTCGAAACTGTATTATTACAAACGACAATTGCCGTTGTTTGTAATTTGTCAATAGGATAGATAAAATCAATAAAAACTGGTAGATTATGACTAAGAGTACCAGTTTTGTATGTAGTAAAATTTTGATCCATTTCAACAATACAACTCAATGAAATTTGTTTTGTTTTCTTGTTTGTATCATATTTATAATAAACATTGAAAATTACTTGAACAGGTGGTTCATTTGGAATATATTCATTCAAAATTTCAATATGATTCTCTAATATTGGTTCAACAATTTTAATTAACCAAAATATTTCAATTCCAACTTCATTCCATGCTGTTAAACTAACGTTATACCTGCCGTAGTTTGTATAATTATATTGTAAAGTTTGTTTACTAATTTGTCCAAATGAGGACACGTGACCTGATTCTAACCAATTCCAATATGTTGAATCTATATTTGTAAAATTTACAATATAATTTACATCTGTCCCTTCTTTCCATAAAACTGAAAATTCACTTTGGCTTCCCTCCATTAGGTTGTCATTTGTTATTTGAAAATTTAAACCTTTTATCGCTAGGCCTAAACAATTTATATAATTTTCCATATTCAAACAAGAAATAAAACTTTTATCTTCATTAAAAACTGAATAGGAAGCTCCGTCTGCCGGTAAAAGTTTGAAACATAAGAATTTATATTTAGAGCAATGAATTCTGGGAATTTTTACAACATTCCAATATTCCAAAACAATGTTACTATTTATAGATAAATTGTTTGATATATATGATGAATTAATAAGACTATAGAAATTTTGTGATGACTCATCATTTTCCTCCATATTGATTTCAGTAAAGAAGAGTGTAATATTAAAATTATATCTATCAGTTGGAATAGACTCAACATTAAATCTGTCATCAATGTTTGTCCATTTAACAATTGTTTGTAAAGGTTGAATATAGCCTCTTATTATACTTTTATTCGGAATTGTAAGGTTTGTCAGAATTTTCACAGCTAAATAAAAACTGGTATTTAGTATATTTTACATAGAGACAGCAACTGTTGGGACATTGGAGAAATTGTCAAACCTCTAGTTTTCAATGTTCAATTATTTCTAACCCTTTACAATAACCTTGACCTAACCTGTTCTCATTGTTGACATTTTCTCATACTCGCCTTATAATTAGCTAACTTACCTGGTGTACAATTTTTATATTTTTCCAGATTTAGGCAAAGAATATCATTATTTCTATTACTTTCCTTATAGGATGATGAATTTGATAAGACGATTCTAAAGCAGATATTAAGATCATTTTCGCATTGAGATCTTGAGATATAGGCTGATAAATTAATTGTTAAATTTAAATTTGTTCCAATTTTTAGTCCTTTCTGTTTATCTTTTAAATCCATTGTTGCTTTCTTCCATTTTGGATTGCTACTATTAATATCTTCAATTTTATCGGATAAAACATATTCCATATCGAAATTAAAGTATTCGTCAAAAAGGGGTATTACGTCATGAACATTTGAATTGTTATTTAACAAGGTAACAACAAATGTATGATTTTGAGTAATACTCCTATAAATGTATTCTTTCCACATGAGAGTTATCTTGAATATTGATAAATCTATTTCCGGTTTACAGTTAATGAAAGGTAAAAATGAGAAACATTTTTCATTGTTTGATGAATCCCATTCAATAAATGAGCTGTTTGGAGATCTCAATACATTCCCACAAACATAAGTTTGATTATAGCATTGTAAAATTGGAAATTTCAATGAAGCTGATAAAGAAATAGACGCTTCACCTCTTTTTGTTAAATTTGTTAAATTTCTACTAGGCAATTCGGCGTTTAATCCATATATGAAAGTTAAAATTAAATCTTGTCTCCATGTTTCAGTAAAATTACTCTCCAAATTTGAAATTAATGCTGAAAATTCAAAATTATTGTTTGGTAAAGTTGATTCAGCAATTGTCCAACCACCATTATTAACCAATAAGACTGTCGATTGTTGAGTACTTTCTTCCTCCCTTATAAATTCACCTTGAAAGTTGATATTCTTCAACAGAATGTCTGTAGCTGTATTTCAAAAAAAAATATCTAGGTCACATTTTAAAAAATTAGGCCTAATTTCTTACCAGCATAACATTTGTTATCTTTTCGAATAGTGTAGAGGGAACATTGACAAGAATAGGATAAAATATCGAGATTTTTAGGTTCGAATCTTGGAAGACAAGACGTTAATTCTTCAACACAATTCGAATCCGTTTCGCAATCTTCTCCAAAACTGCTTTCACCATATTTTAACTTCGCTTTAATTTCAACTTCGCATAGGCCTAATCTACGATTTTCACCTTCCATCCATATAGCTAGATAAGAACCTTGAGTACTTTCATTTTCGCAATTTATAGCCACTTTTACACCAGATCCAATAGTTCTGTTGTAATATTTACATAATTTGAATAATGTAGGATTGAAATTACTCTCATCAAAGCTGTCTGCTAGTCCAATTGTAAAGTTGGATAGTTCTGATGCTAAAAAATAGGAAAACAAATAAATTTCAAAATTTTAAACTTAAATAAATAAATGTTAATTATTGTTCTCTTACAACAGCAATCTTTTCTATTGAGTACTGTAATTCCGGTGACATTAAATGATTTGAGCAAGTCAACAACCCACCAAGGATTTGTTGTTAATTCACCAATTGCGCAATAACCTAGTGAGGCGTCACTTAAAGCAATACCATCAATGGCTAGGTTTGCTTCATTTTTACCATTGGTTACTTTTTGATATGCTTTTTTACCAAGAGCGATATTATCTGAAAAGGTTAATGAAAACTGGTTAATTACTACTAAACTGTCTAAAAACCCCCTTTTTTATACTAACACGGCGTCTTTGGTTTAATTTTAAAAAGAAATTTTTCAACTTTAAATTTATAAACGTCATTCAAATCAGTTGCATCAAGAAACCAATAAGAATTTGAACCTACTAAATTCGAAGAGGAACAGGAACTTTTAGAAAACCACCAACCACTTTTTGTGTTTTGAGCACAAGAAAGTTCATTATCGTTATCAATTGAATAAAAGTAGGTTGTTGTTAAAAATTTCGTTGACGGTGCGCTACCACTTTGGAATTTTTCAATAGTTTTTGAATAGGAATTTCTTTCAGATTGAAATTTAATTCCTTCAAATTCACTGTGCACGTGACTTCCGTCTTTAGACCACATATCAATCCTAGCATTATATTGTCTAAAATTAGTTAAATATGTTGCTAATTCATTACCAGACCAAAATTCTTTATCACTTTCAAATCCATGTTTATAATCATACCAATTTTTTAGCCAATAATCATTGTCGGCTGAGAGTTTCTGACCAATAACTGTCCAATCTTCAAAGCATTTTAATTTAGATTTCTTATCGGTACCTTCAATGTGAAGGTCGTTTGTTGACGGTACAGTAAAACAATCTGGAATAAATTCAACACAACCAAACAATTCAATTTGCATAGAAAAAGAGTTTCTTTTTTCAATTAGATCGAATTTTACGTAACGTGTTCGCAATGAATTTTTAAATGTATATAATCTTGAATAAACATGATCAAATGATCCTTCAAAGTCATATGTATTACTATAATCCCACGTGACATTACTCCATTCGATATTATCTATTGACGATTGAATTGTAAATTTTTTAACATATGCAAAATCACTCAATTTTCCACTTCCTTGTAAAATGAAAGAAGATATTGATAAGATTTGATCGAAATAGAAGAGAATCCATGGTTTAGTATCAGTATCTTTAGGTCTCCAATAGCCCTTTAAACCTTTTTTTTCGTGTAATGGTAAATGAGTTTTATCAGTTGACGAATCGTATTCAGAAGAAACATTCCATTTTACTCCCAATACATTTTCTTTTATCAGGCTAATTGAGCATTCACCTGCAAGAATTTTAACATAGATAAACTAGGAGAAGATAAATTTAAAAATTTAAATGTTTAAAAACCATGATAATGAGCTTCAAAGTAGAATTTATCTTGATCATATATATCCCTTTTCAGGTAGCTATCTTTTGAGTAAGTGTTTGTAGAATAGAACATACACTCTTTTGTCTTTGTATCAAATGAAAATGAGATACAATCGAATCTTATTTCTTCATTACATGCCATTAAACAATCGAATTTTGTATTGAAATCGCTTTTATAAATCCAACTATTTGCATTAGATGTGTTCAGCGATGCCGATGGGACAACTGTCCAAAATTTATTTTTTTTTTCGCTAGGTGGCGCTGTGGATGTTTATGAAATAAATAAATAAGTGTTTTGAAAATGTTTTTTTAGTAAAAGTATTGATTACGTAATGCGTCCTTTTCGCATGAGAATAATAAACTGTCGGTAAAACAAGATATCTTTTGCCAGAATCCGTTTGATTTGTCAAAAGCTCCACAGGTGTCAAAGCCAATAGGACCATTCCATCTTATAACCTCATTTTCTGGTAATGTACTTCCGTCTGACCAGGTAAATTTTCCATTGTGGAGCATTAATCCCATACGTGTTTCTGTTGATTCGCTATAATTTAAGAACAATAAAACAGAAGGGAAAAATTTAGATTAAAAACACTACAGAAAAATTTATCAACTGACCTTGAGAAAAAACCTTGTAAGAATACATTTAAAATTTCATCATACTTTGGTAAAAGCATGTAACCTTCACCTTTCCACGGTAGGCCTTTACACTCATTAGCAGAACTGAAATGGGTAGCAGTTGTAGAAGAATGGTGTGAAATGCATTTTGTACCAAAGAGAAAGTATCCAGGTGGACATTCTAGAAGAAGAAAAGATAAGGTATTGTATTGATTATTGAGTAGTATAAATACCAGAATATTTCCCTCCATGAATAGATATTTTCCAACAAATCAAACTATCAGTTTGAACTGATAACGTTACGTAAATAGCAATTATTGGAATAGATAATAATATTTGGTGTTTTTTTGTCTAAAAAACAATAAAACACAAAATAAAAACTGTACTAAAATTCTATTTTATCAAATTATTTACATTGTTTGAGTAATTATAATCATAACCATTTGAATAAGTTATCCATTTTAAAGAATCTAACGAATATTCAATTGTTAAGTTTAAATTCTCAGTTAAATTCGAATAAATTGTAAATCCAGTAATTTTATAAACACTTTTACAGTTTAGGCCTATTTTGATTGGTTGTTTTAGGCAAGTTAAATTTGGATTAATCAATTCTCCCCAATAAATTGAATTTCCCCCTAAAGTATCCTCTTGAACAGTAATCTGTTGTAGTTCATTTTTTGCAGTTGTTATTGCAGCTTCTTCTGCAAAGAGTTAAAGAAAAAAATACAAAGATGATTACTCAATTTTTGGTTTTTTTGTTGTATTAGTCACTCTTACGTTTTATACATCCGATAATCTCTAAGCGTAATCCTTTGTTATTGTACCATCCTTTGGGCGATAATCGCATAAATCGTAAATCTATTGTTTCGTTAAAGAGCAATAGATATTTCATATTTGTTGTTAATATTGGGCTACTTCTTATAAAGAGGGTCTAAAAATTGAGTTACATTTTGGAAAGGTCAATACTCAAGGTCATTTTAAAATCTTACTTTATTATTCAATGATTCTTCATTATACGTTTTCCATCCGTGAATTCTATATAACGAGTACTTAACATTAAATTCATAAATGTACTTTTTTTCACTTTTGCACGATTGCGAAATAAAACCTGTCACGTGGTATACATGACCTAAATCTATTTGAATGTAATCATTCGGTTGTAGAGATTCAGGAATCCAACAATTTAAGCTGTCCAATCTTACATTATTAGCATAATAGGGTTTTAAATAAGATGGAGTAGTTATCTGAGAGATGTGTATCTGATTTTTATCACCAATTCCAAGTGGATGATTGCACTTTGGAGTATAGATAGGAATATCATCATCCTCTAAATATCTTCCATATAGTTGGAGGCTTAAAATTGCCTTGAGTCTCTGATCTATTGGATTAAATCTAAATCCCTTACAAACAATGTAAGAAGAAAATTCAATGTGATTATAATAGCCTTGATCTTCTTGAATAAAATAACTCTGTTATATAAATTCAGTATTAAGTAATGTGTGTTTCAATAAAGAGAAGAGAAAGTCTATCTTACAATAATATCACCATCCTTGTCTCTAACAGCCAGCCATTGATCATACGAAGATCTTTTGTAGAAGATTTGAGCTGTTCTTGTATATTGGTCATGAAACAGCCTATAAGCTGTAGTAAAGGCAGTCAATGTTACTAATCTCTCAAAATTCACTTCCAAATAGCATTCATAAACATATTCATCTGAACAAGTTGCAACGATATAACTTGTCATTGATTTTCCAAGACGAAAATCAGTATAATCACTATCCGACTGTTTATAAACTCTAGTTGTAACATTAAAATCTTTTTCACTTTCAAAGTTACCTTCCGGTAACAATTTGTAACTTTTTCTATCAAAACAAAACTTTTCAAAGAAATACATGTTTTCTTTATAATCAAAATTAGATTTGTTATATTTCAACATTGAACTTGTTTGATTATATAATTTACATGTTTTTTGTTTGTTTAATCTGCAAAAAAAATGTTGTCAAATGCATCTTTTTTTTATGAAATAAACATAATACACACTGAAATTCCCATCCAATTGATTTACACCATTTCTTTGATGAACAATACTCTAGACAATTTCTTAGATACGTGATATCTAGAGATGCTATTGGGGTACTATTTAAAGTATGATGAGGCAATAAACTATATAAAGGCTGGCAATTTTCTTCTTCATCATAATCATTTTCATCATCTGGTACTATTTGGGGAACAAAAAGAGAACATTTTTCATTGTTATTTTCGTATTTTGTAAAGAATTGAAAAAATAATACGAAACTAACAATTCGCCATTGTTTCGCACATTGCGTAACCGTTTTCAGTGCCCTCACTATTTTCAAAGGTGTCTTTTCTGATAAGGTATGTTTTAAAAATATTTGCAGAAAAGTGAAAGCTTTTTTGTAAATAGTTGGTAATTGGTGTTCCATCCAACCAATCATAGCTAGTTAGTGTTGTTTGTTTAGCTCCAATATAGATACCATAGTTCTTATCTCTAATAAAAAGTTTTATTTAAAAAATAAATTATTACTTTATTATTATATTGAAAATATTGGATTTTGGGAGAGATAATTTGGGATACTTTTCTGTATATAGCCACCATTTTGGCGGCTATTTCTCCCAATATCCTTAGAAATATTTACTTAAACATATAATATCTTTGAACGAGATCTACTTCGAATGAATTTTTTGGCATTACCAAATAACCTTGATCTTTCCAATTAAATCCAGTTTTGCAAAATTTATCGCATTGTTCAAAATTTGCTGGCGCATCTGAAATCGTATAGCACTTATCCAACTGCCTTAGAGAGCCGGGAGGGCAAATTGGAGCTTTTTCACCATACAATTCGAATCTGACACAATCTTTTGGTCCATTAGTGAAATTTAGAAGGATATATCTCAATCTCAATGCTGGTGACGAAAAGATAATTGTCCTATTCAATTCGGATTTACATGTTATTTCCTAAAGGAATGAAAAAAAAGAGATAAATGTCAAGGTTGTTGAATAATATTATTCTCTTTGCCCTACATCGGCCATTTTAGTGATATTTTTTTTATCGAATTGAGCTCCAGACACAGAAATATCCTTACAAGAATCTTTGAATTGGTTCTCTTTATGATATATATAAATTCTCTCTATGTAATGTATGGTATTCATGTCAGCCAACCACCAACCATCAGTGTCATTATCTTCCTTACACCAGAAACTATTGTCAAACATTAACGCCATCTTACCGGAAGTAGACAAACTCTTCTGAGATGATACAGTAATTGTTTTGGGGAATTTACCAGTTACTCCCAATTTGGAATGTTTTGCTGGATAGCCGTAAAGTTCCATTGTAATAGCTGGTATAATAGAATTGCTTTGGTCAGTATGTATAAATCTTATGTAACGAGCTTTTATTATAGGATCAAAGGTTACTTCTGCCTTTTCATTCGATTCGCTAACATAGTAATTTTTAACTGATCCATTATTAGTCACATGGTATGACCATTGTTCAAGGTCATTTGTATACATTATTGAAAAAGTTTTCAAATATCCGATACGTCCATTACAATTACCGGTAGATATTGTTTTTACTATAAAATGTTGAATGCCAAGGTCAAATTGCCATTTTCCAATTACATGAAAGTACCCAGTAGAGTGGAAAACTGGTAGACAACCTAATCGAATTTCGTGAATTCCCGTATGAGCAGTATAAAGTTGTTCGGCTAGCATTTGAGAATGTAATATATAATTACTCTTCAGACCAAGAGGTTTAGTAAACTCATCCACAATTCCGGTATAATTACAACCGTAAAATTCCAGTCTAACTGCATATTCACGGTGGTACGAATAGGCAAAAAACTGAACGTATTGAGCAATTAAATGGGGACGAAAAGCATTTTGAATAATTGCTAATTGATTAAAATTTCCAAAAAATTTCTAAAAATTTACTAATTTGAATAATTTATTCATAAAACAAAATTTAGGTCTATAACTTACTCGACGATCTCCATTAGACGTTTTAACAAAATTTAAACTGTCTGTTCTATTACTGATTGCTAAGTAGAAATATTCTATCCATTTTTGGCTGTAGCTTCCGGCTCCTTCTATCTTGATTCGTGTCATTCGAACAATCCTTCCAAAGTCGAACTGTTTTTTTTTAAAAAAAAAACACGAAAAAACTTTTTAATATAAATGCAAAATAGATATTAAGCCTACTTTTAGATAAGTAGTTTGATCTGATCCTTTAAAGTATCCTGCATTATCCGGGTGTCTTGAACCATAAAATTGACGGTAAACCATCCGTAATTGAGATATACCGTACCTTGAAGACATTGGTGGAGAATTGGTTTGAATATTTGAATCTGATATTCCATTTGGACTTTCAATTAGTGGTTGTTCGCATTCGTTAACTGTTGAATATATTTCCCAAGTATCCAAACTACTAACGCCATCTACAGGTATAGAATTGATATCGTAATTTGTAGTTTCATTATACAAGAAACATTTTTGTGAATCATGCCCAAAAGCGAATCTTTTGCATTGAAATTCCTTTTGTTGTTGACACAAATACGAACAACTTTCCACTTGAGTAGTTTCGTAAACTTTATGCAAATGATTAGAATTTAATGAAGAATTTTGATAATAAAACCATTTTGTACTCTGAGTACTTTGCCTTTTCTTGTTGGCTTTCATTTCGCAAAGATATTGGCAAGGAGCATTACAGTTAATATTATGCCAGGCATAAAATTTCGTTGAGTACATTACGCAATGTTCAGTTGGTAATCCTGGTTCACCTACATCGTTATTACGATCAAAATTTGTAAAGTTATGTTCAGCATTATTGGACCATTGCCAATTAAGATCTGGATTGAGTAATTTCATATGAGGGGTTTGGGGTATTGAATTATTTACAACCAGTCCATAAAATACTCTAAACCCTGTCCTAAAGACATGAAAGAACAGTAGATATTTTAATACATAAAAATATATTGGGCGAAGGGCGGAAGTTATGGGTGTAAGTGGGTTATTTATTTCATTGTTTTGAAAACAAACCTTCTATTCAAATATACAACCAGAGAATCTTCTTCAATAGATGATACTTCAACAGTATAGGCCTGATTTTTCCATACAATATTATCGCAAATATGCCTTATAGGGCCAGTATCAAAATCAGAAGCCCCGTATATCTCTCCAGGAAAATAATGATAACAAGAATGATCATATTCAATAGTATTTGGTGGACATGTTTCAGCTTCGCAGCCATTTATTGAATATTCAATACAAGGAATTGTCAAACTTGTATTTAAATTCCATAAGTTTATACGTAGTTTTGTTGCAGAATGTTGATTTAAAAATGTTATGTTATGGGTTTTGTCATCCTGTTTGTCAATTTTATACTTGTCTAATGACTTCCAAATGTTATTGTCTCTTGACCAGTTTAATGTCCAAACCGGAAGTGGTGTACGAGCGAATTTTATTTGAAATGAGGTCAAATGATATAATTGATCCAATTCAATTAATATTGTTGATTCTACTCTAGAGTACATTAATCCTGATGTTTCGTTGTAAACTGTAGAAATATTCTGCATTATTGGGCAAATTTTATTGTTTTCAAGACCAAGATTAGGACAAATAGCTAAGAAAAAAGGATATTTTTAAGTAAAATTATTAAATTATATTTCAAGATGGCGTCTACTTTTCATACCGTCTAATTTTCCATAGAATTCGAATACGCTGCATCCAAGACTTTGCCATTTAACTGGATAAATACGAACATATCTAGCCGTTAGGGGTTCGTCCAATCTTATTTGAATTGGAGTAATTGTAACAAGGTCATTGGGAAGGGAAAATTGAAGAACATTTCCATTGTCATCTTTTACCTTTTCCAACATGTCGACGCCAATCTGACTAGCCACTGCCATTGTAAACACTTGAATATTACCATAAGAAGCTTGAGAAGGGTCTATAGATAATCCATAAAATTGAATGGGAAGCGACCACATTACTTCGAACCAATTATCCTTCTCTATTGGATAGAAACAGGGAATTTGGAAAGGATAATCTTTTGGTCGACCTCTTAATCTCGCTAAAAATGGCGGATAATGAACTGTTAAACTCGCTTTCATTTCTTTTACGCTTAATTGATAATCTTCAATATGACCCGACTCCATTCCTAATGCAACCCCTTCTAAATCTTTAATTGAAAATGTTACGGAATAGAAAAAACATTAACCGTACTAATTGTTTTTTTACCCGAAACTAAAATCTGCTTATTGAGTTGACAACCGCGAAGTGATAGACGCAAATCAGGTGTTGTATCCCAAGTTATTGGAAGTATACGAAAACAACGAGCGATAATAGGATATTTAAATAGTATTACTCTTGTTAAAGACCAAAAACCGTGGCCAATCATCATCTTGGAAAAATGAAGAGGCAAATGAATAGATGAATAAATTACTAAATAATTTACTTACAATAATTTCTTTGGTGTGCATTGTACTGTAGTAGGAAAAGTCTTGACAATTTAAACTGTACAAGACATAATGATTGATAACTGTGTTTTTGTCGTATCTTTCTCCTCCTAAAATATGGTAGCCAGTTACATTGTATAAATTTAATAGGTCCACTTGAAGCCATTGGTATGGATAAATAGATTCAGGCCTAAATGCTCCTAATTGGTTCTCTTGTCTATAACTACTGAATTTTGCTTGAACAGGCAGAGATTTAGCTGCTGTTGCAACAGTCGATGCTGTGAAACTTTTATCCGGTAAGTTATCAATAATATTATTCTCCCTAAAACAGACTGGTTCACTGTCACCTTCGCATTCCCATTGATAGATATTGAACATAATATCAGTAACCAGACTGCTAAAATCTTCAGCAAAAATTTTTGTAGAATGTAAATAGCATTGTTTAGCTTGAACATCCCAAGAAATACTATGACAAACACCGTATTTACCGGAAAAACAATCCTAAAATATTCAATAAATTCCAATTAAAGAGAGAAATTAATTTGAATGGAAAATTTTAAAAACCTGAAGGCAAATTTCTTTTGAACTATCAATTTTTGTAGAATTCCTTAAATCTTTATAACCTTTTAAAACGTGCCAATATGGTCTACATCCTGTTGTATCAACTGTTTGTTTGTTTGTTTGTTGTTTTTAAAAAACAATTAGAATGGTTTTTAAATAACTCAAAATATAAAAAAAAGTAAGAAAATTACAAACTTTTTGACATTTCACATACATAACCAGAATTATTTGTTAAATTTTGGATATTTCTCCATAATCCATTATTAGTTTCCATGGTTACGTAAAGTGTATTCAAAAGATTGGTTTCTTCACCTGGATGGAAATTATGAAAATTTAATGGTGTACCATCATTCCAAATGAAATTTGTTGAAAAATTTCCTTTAGTATTATTTGTTCTATTTAATCCAATAAGATAATTTTGTTTTGGTGAGTATTCAATAAATAATTGAACAAACGAAAGTTTTCTTGAAGAATCAATTTTAATGAGATTTGAAGAATGATTTCGGCACAAAGGAAAACTTGAGTTATCATCCAATTTAGCTATGCAACTATCAAGATATCTCATCCAGCCAGAGGGGCAATTGTCACCTAAAGTGTGGGTGGAATGGGTTGGAAAAAATATGTGTATAAATATGTAAAAAAAGCGAAAAGAAAACTTAAAAAAATACCTTTTAAAATAGTTGCAATAGTTAAAATTGAAAACAACTTAAAAATTATCATCATCATCTTGAACATTCAAAAATTCAGATATTTTCAAATGCAACCGACTTCTTTTAAATAGAGCTGCGTTGTCTGTGCGCATGTGATAGTTTAGTGTTTTTTCTCTTTAAATGTAATTAATATTTTATAAGTAATATAAATACATCTAAAAAATACAGTTATTGTGTGTATCATTTTACTTGAAAATTTATTCATGAGCAGTGTCAATACATTCATATAATTTATAATAAAAAAATGTCTTTTGTCAAAGTCTTACTGGTTGGAAATTCCACACAAGACATATTTTATTAACAAAATCTATTTATAGAATCATCCTATTCTGCAATGGAAAACCCAGGAGAGTTGAATATATGACCTTCATACCGATTTTGTCCTATATTTTATAAAGAAATCTTAAGTGGGAATTTGTTAAAGATACTAATCAATACATAGAATAAAAACTGCAATCTTATATTGCAGTTTATTGCTCTTTTTTCTTAATTAATTTTTAAGGTAAAAATATATTTGCTTCTATTTCATGTTTTGTTTGTACAATAAATACACAACAGAATATGTTTGGAAGCAAAGTAGGACTTATGTTTACTAAGCCATGTTATATTGTGGTAACAAAAGGTGTCTATTGATTCACTTAATAGGTATAAATCAAATATGTGACTTTCTTGCATGTTTGTAGTCAATCTATTTTCCCATTAATTAGTTGCTGTAAGTGGATTTCAAAAATTTCCAATTAATCACCTAACTATTCTAATTTCATTTAGAAGGAAAGGGAGAAAGAAAGCAAGAAAGAATGGAGAGAGAGAGAGAGAGAGAGAGAGAGATAAATAATCTCAGTATTAATACTATAGAACACAGTTCAAATATGTCTCTTCTGTCAGTTATGAATGGTATGACAAGCTAAATGCTTACAAAATAACTTTTTAACAAATAGATATTTAATTTGAAAATTCAAACCCTTTCTTGTTCTTTCTATACATAAAACACAATGATGCAATACAATTCATTCCTGTGATCCTACAAGATAGAGGCAAAAAGTTATTTTAATTTTGTATTGTCAAAAGAGAGGAAAAGAATGCGACAATTGACATATGTTAACGTGTGCTACTTCTGAAGTCAAAGTTTCAGTTGCAAGTTGCACGTGAGAAGATAATTGCAAAAGGTTGATTAAATACAAAATAACAACATTCAACCTAAAACTGGAAAAATAAGTTTAGTACTCGAAGAATCTTCAATTGTTGAAAGTGCTCGCAATTCAAGTTTTTTATTAAATATTAGAGCCGTGCTGAAAGTTTTAATCACTTGTGTCTTACAGTTAAGGAAAAAGAAATTTACGTAATATGCTTCTTCCTAAATATTTGTTAATGCCTTGGGTATGTCTATTTAACTTCGAATTCCCCATTATTGTCAATGCACATTTGCCACCTAGTGGGAAGTTGATCAATTCCTCTGACGAAGTATTTGGGCAGTTTGGACTTAAAAAGTGCACTTAGTACCTTTTTCAATTTATCATAATTCTCATATGTTTGACCACAAAGATGGTGTCTGATGGCACCAGATCTGAGCTGGATGAGGCAATATTACCCATCGAGTTGTTGCAAGAGATTGGCATTGTGGAAAAATCACTTTTTTATTAGACCTGATTCTATTCAATTCTTGCTTTATTCTCTATAAAAAATTCTGAATTTATTTTGATTTGTAAAGTTAGAAATACTAGAGAAAGCTATTACTTCTCTCAAAACACACATACAATTAATTTGTCTACAGACTTACCTTCCTTAACCGTGTTTGGTGGTGATAACAATTTTGTATGGTATTCTAAAGATGCTCTTTTAGTGAATGATTCATGATAGAATACCCATGTTTCATCTCTTGTAACAATTTTTGACAGAGTCATCTTCTTGAATTGGGGTTAAATCATACCCTATTTTAAAGAATTAATACACATTAGTACATTTAAAATTTGATCAAAATGTAACAAATAGAGTCCTTGACAAAAATATCTATATATGAAAAAAAAAGTTTTTGTGATAAAATTATTTTATTTAAATTCTGGTTTTTGTCTTAGTCTAAGAGTTACATATCAATCCTATTGTCTTTGTTAATAATAACCTGCCAAACTCTCCCCCATTTCTCAATCTAAATGTTTTACAAAATCTTTATTGTTGTTATTGATTTTTACTACCTCTTGCTGTATCTTGGTCCATAAATAGTCAAGGGTTTTTGGTGTCTGAACTTCATACATTTTTTGCTTTAAACAACCCCATAAATTTTCTATAGGGTTGAGGTTATGGAGAATATGGAGGCCAATCAAGGACTTGAATTCCATTCTCCTCCAGTTTATCTTATTGTTACACTGGAAGTTTGTGGGGGTGCATAATCCTGATATCAGTTGAAGTTTTCACCAAATTTTTCCCTCAATGTTGGGAAAATTGTTCCCTGAATTAACTTGGAATAAATTTTTCCAGAGATGTTGGAAGGAAGTCTTTGAATGAAAACTTCACCACCTGAGGATATACCCCAAACCATTACGCTACCCCTGCCCATATTTTTCGTCAACCTGAACTCAGTTTCACTGTCATTTGTCCAGGTCCTAAGGTCGTCACGTCAGGACCACTCAGTGAAAACCTTGCCTCATCTGTAATATCACTCTTGACCAATCTAAATTATCCAAAATAGGGGACATTGTATCCAGCATCTGGAGACAATGACCATCTTTGATTTCTAATGAAATCTATTGTAAAGAGACTTGTGTGCATATAATAACTATAATATATGGCAAATTGCCAAGTTTTCATAATTTATCCTCCAATTCTTAACAAGTAAAAAACTATATCTAAAAATAATTTTTAATTAAATTTATTCCAATTTCCTAATTATTCTTCGAGCCTGAGAATATATAAAAGGAGTATGGTTTCCTTAACATTCCTTTGTGATTGTAGCTTTATCAGATCATTTCAACAAAGCTGTCCTTTTATTGCATTATTTTCTCGAAATTCCAAGAAGTAAATTTTACTTTTCAACAGATTAAAACTTATTTCTCATTTATCATTATATCAAAAATGAGTCATCTATAGAATTGAATAGAAGGTGATCATCAGCACTATCAAGCAATTGAATAGCAGTTTGTCTTTTATTAATGCGTATCATTTTGCTTTCTAATATAAAACAAATAAGCAGACGTTTGTCTCTCTTCCAACACCTAGAACTTCTTCTTCCTCAGGTAGTCCGATTTCTTCAAAGTTTCATTTAAAATCCATAATTTCAATACTTGTTTTCTTTGACATTCTGCTTCTGATGAATCGTTTACTTTATGTAAAAGAATGATTTTTAGGCCTATATATTAAATATTGAATATTCTTTATTCTATTTTTGTTCAATATCTAAAATGAAAATTATAAATTTCATTTTCAAATTTGGTTTTGTTCTACACGAATTTGGTTTAAAGTCAAATTTTTGTGAAGGAATATTGTGTCCTAAATTATCTCTGATTAACATAAAGAGAGATGAAAAAAATATCTCTGTTGAAGGATTATTGACAGGATGGGTGTCACGTGATAGATCGTTTTATTATATTATGTATGAAAGAATAGATTTGGCAGATTTAAATGCAATTTGTAAAAAATTAGGCTATGATCATGTTTTTTCAAGAACGTCACTAATAAAGGTAGCTGAAAATGCTAAATTCTTACTATATGAAGATATACAACCTTGTAAATTGTAAGTAATATTTTCACTGATTTTACATCCAATATCTGTTTTCTTCTTCTGCAATTTGTGTTGAAAGCCTGCTTTATAACTCCAAAGATCATGCATGGAGAAACACTGGAGCAATGGAATTGAAGTGTTTTAGAAAACATGCTACATGTCAGATATCTATTCTTTTTCTATTTTCACTTTCTTCTTCATTAATCCTTTATCCAATAGATATCTATGCTATCTATGTTTCAAATACAAATATGATTGGAAACTATAACCTAATTTTAAGAAATGAACAAAAGAATTATCAAATTCAAGGCCATTTTTCAACTAAAAATGATTTTTGTGAACATGCTGAATTCTTCATTAGAACATCAATAAAATACAACACGTCTTTTGGTGTTTCACTGCCTTCATACTCAGATAAAATGTATAAGAAAATTTTCCAAAACTTCAATTTTAGTTTATGGGTCACATGTTCCTTTCATGAATTGCGTGGTTGGTATATATTCTTTAAAACGTGTTTTGAAATGTAGTACATCATATATTGTTTTTCCAAGATATTGAACTAAAAATAACCAGTTCAATTCATTCAATATGGACCAAACATTTCTTCACACACTTCTCGGACCAGGAGCAAATCCACTTAAACTATTATATTAAATCCAAATCTTTTGGAATTCTGCCAACTGCATTTAGTTTTGAAACTCAAATATATAATGCATGTACTTTCCTTTGTGGCTTGATCAACAAGTCCTTTGATGTATATTCATGCAAGGATATTAGGCATATTCAGCTTGTTCATAAAATGTACTTATAACAAATGAATGGTAACAAAACAGTTTGCTTAAACAGAAATCAT